GTCCGATTGGGGTCGGCCGTGACCGGGCCTGCTGTGGTTGTAACTCCGCAGCCCCGTACACCCTGGGCGATGCTGAAGAAAACTTACGTTTTCAGCCAGAGGCTCGATTATTCTTCATGTTGTACTATAAATCCTAAGCTTTTGATCGACATTCTGGGTTTTTATTCAAATTCTGAGACTATGAATTTCTTAACCCATGATTTCTTAAGCATTTCGCAGGGTGTACTCCTGATTTCGTCATAAAGGGAGGGGGGTCTCATTTCGGGGGGGGGGTCTCTTCCAGGCTCTCTTGGAGGGCCTGGGGGGTCTGGGGACGATGTTTTGGAGGGTTCTCCCACGGGGGAGGTCTGAAATGGCTTGTCTTGGAGGGTCCAGACCCCCTCCCTTTTATTACGAAATCTGGAGTAATTAACTCTCCAAACTGGCCTCCTCGCTCCTACTGCTGCTCGTCATCCCCGTCCCGTCGTCCTCATCGCCCGCCCGCCCCGCGCGAGCTGCTCTTCTCTGCCAGCCGATCGGACCTTCCCAAGAGCGCCTCCTCCCTTCCCTTCCCCATCCCCTCCCCTCTCCCCCCCTCCCCCCTTCCCGCCCCGCTCACCCTGACCCCCTCCCACCTTCCTTCCTTCCCCCCCCGGGCCCTCCACTCCCCCCTCCCTTCCTCCCCTCCACTCCCCCCTCCCTCCCCCTCCATTCCCCCCTTCCCCCAGCCCCTCCTGCCTCCCCATCTACCCCCCCTCACCGCTCTCCCCCCCCCCATTTTTCCGTTTTCCCTTTCCCCTTACAGTTAAACGGAATGAATACTACTCTCCTCTTTCCCCTGACTCCTTCTGGGAGGTACCCAGCTCTCTCCGCGTAGTGTCATCTACGCAGAGGATTGCACATCATGGTTTTTAATCGCTTCGCTCATTCCGCCGGCCCATGTTGCCTCGCCGCTGTCGTTTGTCGGGGTGTTGTTGTCAATGCGGTGCCGATTGTTCGACGACTCGGAGCTCTCTCGGACATTCTTGGGGCCCTCTTGGATCGCCCTGGGGTGTTCGAAAGCCGCGCTCAGGAGGAAACCCATCCATGGCCCCACCCTGCCGGGGACCAGGCTGGGGCCGTTCGCGTCCGAGGACCCCCAGGGGCCGCCCCGCGCGCGCGAAGTAGACGTACTGTGAGGCAGCTGCCGGAGATCTTGGTACGCCTCTGACCGTGCCTGGGTGGTGTGGGTCAGAGGCCTCGTGGATGTTGGTGGGGCTCTCGCGGTTGGCCTCTCGGGGGCCTCCGGGAGGCAGTTTTGAGGCCTCTTGGGGCCCGTGTTGGGGCTGTGTTGTCGCCTCTTGGGGGCCTCTTGGGGCTTCTTGGTTTGCCTCTTGGGGCCCCCCTGGCCCGTGGGTCCTCTTGGGGGCCTCCTGGGGGCCTCCTGAGGGCCTCCTGGGGCCGACGGTCGGACTTTTCGATTCCTGGCCCCTCTCTTGGGCCCCTCTTGGGGCAGTTTTGGGGCCCTCTTGGGCCGTTTTGAGGGCCTTTTGGGCCGTTTTGGGGCCATCTTGGGCCGTCTTGGGGCATTGAGGCTTCTTGGGCCGTCTTGGGGCGGCCTTGGGGGTCTCTTGGGCCGTCTTGGAGCGATGCGAAGCTGAAAAGGCGAGGAGGCCAACATCTTTCAAAAACCATCGTAATATTGGCGAGTTTGGCCTCCCGAGGCCGTCCCGAGACCCTCTTGGGCTCTCTTGGGCCCATTTTGGGGGCGTGTTGGGCCGTTTGGAGAAGATGTTGGAGGCCTCTGGGGCAGTTCGGGGCGCTGTGAATTTCCATGCGTCGCACGTGCGACAAATGTGCGTTTTCTGACAGGAATGGGGCGATGGGGCCACCTGGTGGGCCATCTGGCGACCATCTTGAGCGTCTTGGAGCGATCTTTCGGCGACTTGGTTTTTTGGGGGGCCATCGGGGGTGCGTCCCGACGTCTTCTTGGCGCGCTCATGTAGCGCCCCGGGGGGACTCAGCTGGGCGTCGCCTGGGCATCGGCAGGGGCACTTTTCGTCCAGGGGTCTCGACGGGCTGCCACGCGCGCGCGAATTAGAAATACTGTTAACCTGTCGCGGGAAATCTTGGCACGCCTGTGGTCCCTTGGGCCAGCGAATTGCTTTTGTTGTTTTACAGTTCGATGGCTTACGGTGTTTCAACATGATGCTCCCGTTGCAGCGCGGTCCTCATTTTAGCATCGGTGCTTTGCTCCCATCTTTCAGAATGGCGCTCTCGCCCCAGCGCGGGTCTTTTATGCTGGATCCGAGTTTGTTCCACCTTTGTGCCCCCCCTTATTTCCCCTCCTCCGCCTTCCCCTGGTTCTCTTGTTCCCCCCGCTCCTTCCACTCCCGTTCATGCTTGTACTGTTCGTCCTCTTCTCCATTTTTCCCAACCCTCCTGCGTTGGGTACTCGTTTTGAATAGAGCACTGCGGTCTCCACTCCTTCCTCCCGCCTCCCTCCACCTCTCTTCTCTCCTCCTCTCCCCTCTCTTGCTTCCCTTCTCCTATATTCCCTCCTCCTCTCCTCCCTTGCTCCTCTCTTCCCTCCACCTCGCCATCCCTGGGCGGCTGCGATCTGTGAAATTGTCGCCACTTTCGAGGGCTGCTGTGGGGCGAGCAGAGTGACGTCTTACGGGGCTTCATATTAGACCTCGCCGTCGCTGGGGGGCTGCGATCCGTGAAACTGTCGCCACTTTCGAGGGCTGGTGAGGGGTCCAGCACAGTGGGTACTCACCGCAGACTCAGATTAGACCTCGCCATCCCTGGGGGGTTGCGATCTGTGAAACTGTCGCCACTTTCGAGGGCTGCTGAGGGGCACAGCACAGTGGGTACTCACCGCAGACTCAAATTAGACCTCGCCATCCCTGTGGGGCTGCGATCTGTGAAGCTGTCGCCACTTTCGAGGGCTGCTGAGGGGCCCAGCACAGTGGGTACTCACCGCAGACTCAGATTAGACCTCGCCATCCTTGGGGGGCTGCGATCTGTGGAACTGTCGCCACTTTCGAGGGCTGCTGAGGAGCCCAGCACAGTGGGTACTCACCGCAGACTCAAATTAGACCTCGCCATCCCTGGGGGGCTGCGATCTGCGAAACTGTCGCCACTTTCGAGGGCTGCTGAGGGGTCCAGCACACTGGGTACTCACCGCAGATTCAGATTAGACCTCGCCATCCTTGGGGGGCTGCGATCTGTGGAACTGTCGCCACTTTCGAGGGCTGCTGAGGAGCCCAGCACAGTGGGTACTCACCGCAGACTCAGATTAGACCTCGCCATCCCTGGGGGGCTGCGATTTGTGGAACTGTCGCCACTTTCGAGGGCTGCTGAGGGGCCCAGCACAGTGGGTACTCACCGCAGATTCAGATTAGACCTCGCCATCCCTGGGGGGCTGCGATTTGTGGAATTGTCGCCAATTTCGAGGGCTGCTGAGGGGCCCAGCACAGTGGGTACTCACCGCAGATTCAGATTAGACCTCGCCATCCCTGGGGGGCTGCGATCTGTGAAACTGTCGCCACTTTCGAGGGCTGCTGGGGGGCCCAGCACAGTGGGTACTCACCGCGGACTCAAATTAGACCTCGCCATCCCTGGGGGGCTGCGATCTGTGAAAATGTCGCCACTTTCGAGGGCTGCTGAGGGGCCCAGCACAGTGGGTACCCACCGCAGACTCAAATTAGACCTCGCCGTCCCTGGGGGGCTGCGATCTGTGAAACTGTCGCCACTTTCGGGGGCTGCTGAGGGGCGCAGCACAGTGGGTACCCACCGCAGACTTAAATCAGACGCCGCTTTCGTCCTTGTTCTCCTCCTGCAGTCACCTTCCCTCTGCTGCTGCCGTGCTGATGGTTCGGCTTCCCGCACGTTTTTCTCCTGCTCTGCGTTCCCGACTCCCCATGTCCTCATCGAGCCTGTAGCTGTCGCCCCTCGTTCTTGTATGGTTCTCCTGCGCATCATGCCATAGGCGCGTGTCCCAAGTAGCTTACACATCAAGTTGATTGTCCATGCAAGTTTCGGCCAACTCCTCGTTTCCATTGATACAAATGGGTTGGGTACGTCACAGGGTAATTTTCTCCCGCCCATCCCTTTCTCACCCGTCACCTCCTCTTCCTCCTCCTTCTCCTCTTTCTCCTCCTCCTCCTGCTCCTCCTCCTCCTCTTCCTCCTCCTTCTCCTCCTCCTCCTCTTCCTCATCTTCCTCCTGTGCGCGCGGTTCCGTTTGTTCCGACTGCTCATGACGCGATGTGTTTTTTTTGCTGTTTTGCAGGTCGGCTATGACGCGGGTCCGCGGATTGAGGATTCATCCTTTCAATGGGATGGGATGGAGAGAGGGATACCATGTCAGATGAGGCGCGAACGCAATTAGCTTGCCTACCCCCCTCTCCCCCTCTCTTCGGTCCCTCCCCATGCCCTCCCCCTCCTCCTTCCTCTCTCCATCGCCTTACCCCTCCTCATCGGAGCGCAGCCGAGAGGGTGGTTCGGAGAAATCAGCGGAGGTGTTGACCTCCAGGAATTTTGATCAGGCGGGATGATCGGAGTCTGGTCCGCCTCATTCTGATCCATTCTGATCCATCGTTCCTTTTTCTTCCCTCCTGCCCCCGACGTCGACTGGCTGCTGCCACAGAGAAGCCCCGGGGACGGTCCGCATCAGTCGGAGGTAGCCGGCACATGCGTGCACCTCCATGCCGAGTTTTCGCCGACGCCCTCCATCATCCTTTCCCTTCTTCCTTTCGACCCGTCTATTCCTCCTTCTCCGCCTTTTGAAAGTGGCCCTCCATCTTCCCTTCTCTTCCCTGCGCGATGCCTCCCTTCGACCCGTCTCGTTCCCTCCCCCCCTCTTGAAAGTGCAAGGGGGCAGCTAGACGTGCTCCCCGCTCTCCTTCGCCAGTGAGGCCGGGCTGACGTGAGCCGTGCTGACCTTGGCGGAGTTTGCCTGAGCCGAGCCACGCTGGGCCAGCAGCCTCAGCCGAGATAGGCCGAGCATCCCAATGTAACGCTCGACCAAGGTAGCCCATGCTGGTGTACTCTAATCTGTACGCTCATGTGCTAGGCTGTGCCAAGCCCAGCTGGCCCAGGCCGGCGCAATCCGTGTCAAGCTCAATTTCGGCTCAGAGCCACAGTCGCACTGGTAGCCAAAGCCAACCGAACAACGAAGGCTGAAACTATTGTTGAGCCGTGATTGCAAGCCTCTCAGATCGCATATTAGACTACGCCTAATTTGCGATGGGTCAAGCTGATAGGGCCTCGTGTCAGATTCACAGCTGACTCGAATTCGGATGCTCAAGCGAAAGAGGCACTGAAAGTTCTCACTGTGGCATGCTTATTGAAGTGATATCAGCAGCCAAACGAAAGCTTGATAGGGCAGCCACAGAAGCTCCGTAGCCAATTCGACCAAACAGCTCGTATACGTAGCTGCGAAGGTAGAAATAGTATCACAATCGCACGCAATCTATGTATGGTGAACCAGGATTCGGCTCAGGCAGGCTCCTTGTCGCTCTGTTCTGAAATACTACGATGAAAGGCAAAGCTGGCAAGGGCAAGCCAGGCTGGTCTTGGACAGGCTATGGCAATGCAGGCCACTCAATGATGCGATTGCTGATGTATTTATGTGATGAGCCGACCTGGTGCAAACTACATGCCGTAATCAGAGTTTCGTTGCGACGGAAACTGCCTCTGCGTTTCTGAGTTGTCCCAGGCAAGCTTCAAGATGGCTTGAAGCTCTTAGCTTGAGAAGTGAACCTTGCAACGTGCGCGCGCTCATGCTCAAGCCAGAGCAGGTCACGCTGAGCTGAAGTTGCCCCGCCAAGGACCAACGGCCAGCGGAGGCACATTCAAGGTAAATCATACGCTGGATGCCCACGGGTTTCAGTGTAAAAGCTGAGGCGGAGGTTGAATTGAACATAGCGCGGGCTCAGCTATTCGAGTCTGAAATTCCCCAGACGCTGCTTGCACTTATGGGTTGTTATTTCTTTTCGAAGGAACTGGGGTTGTGTGTTGGTCTGGCGGCTATGTTGTCGCCGCCCCGTCGCGAGCTCGTCGCCGCCCGTCGTCTCGGCGGGTGTTGCGGTCTGAGGCTATGTAGTCGCCGTCGCCGCCCCATCGCCGCTTTGTCGACGCCCGTCGTCTGGGCCGCTGTGGGGGTCTGGCGGCTATATTGTCGCCGTCGCCACCCCGTCGCCGCCTCGTCGCCGCCCGTCGTCTGGGCCGCTGTGGCGGTTTAGCGGCTTTGTTGTCGCCGTCGCCACCCCTTCGCGGCGCCGCCGTTGTATTTCACCGTGTTTTTTGTGTTGTTTGTTTTGTTTTTCTTTTTTGTTATATATATATATATATATATATGAATGTAAATGTGTATATGGTTATTATCTATATATAAACAATATACATATATACACATATATATGTGTTTTTAATGTCGGTTGTCTGTTGCCGGTTGGCGGCTACGCTGCTAGTGGTGTAAAATAGTGTGCACCATATATTGCACAACCTGTCTTGCACCGCATAGATTGCACCACCTATTGCCCCACACTTGTTGGGCAACAGTAAATCTCGTGTTTAAAAAAGAGAATCGACTCTAACGCACCCCCCGGGTTTATCACATTTCATCATCCATCCTACATTTGGATTTACACCATTCCAGGGGGGCAGTATCAGCCCCCCGCCATCATGTGCAACACATACAAGGCGCGCAAACTCGTTTATCACAAAGCATCAATTTTCAAGAACCGTTTACAACAAATGATGAAGTGCACGCGCGCTCGTCGTTGCGCGCGAATGCCGAAATCTGTCAAAAACGTTAAGTTTCGTAGCGATTTCAAAACCGCGTATCCCCAACACATAAAATTCACATGGTTTCGCAACGTGGGTTTTCAAAACAAACTTGCGCGCGCTTTCTTGCCAATTCTTAAAACAACCTTAGGTTCGTCAGCATTTTACCAAACGGGTTCCGCGCGCGCATGTCGAAATCGTTCGAACGACTTTGCGCGCGTGCCGTCGCGAGAATCCCTTGCAACAAATGGGACGACGTGCGCGCGCGTCATCGCACTTGCAGGCCGAAATCAGTCAACCACCATACGTTTCGTAGCGATGTCAAACCGAGTGTCCACAACATGTAAAGCAGATTCGCAACATCAGTTTTCAAAACAGCGTGCGCTCGTGCTCTTTGCGAATTCTTAAGAAACCATAGGTTTTCATTTTTCCATTGAAAATGGCTAAACTAACCTTTCGCGCCGCATGCCTCAATCCTTCGAACGCCCTTGCGCGCGTGCGGGGGGGGCGGGCGCGGTGCGTGTCAAATGATTTCACGCGGGCCAATCTCGCGCGTCGGCCGCGCGCACATATCGAGTTCTTACCAAATCTTGTATCGCCGATGCGAGGACGCCGTCATCGTCGTCGGAGTGATCGGCATCGGCGCCCATGCTGGTCGCGCCGTTGTCGGTGGCAACATCGTCAGCAGCATCGATATTATAATTATCGTGTCTACCATTGTCGACGTTGCCGTGATACCGCGCCCGCCCACGTCGCCGACTCGCACTGAAATGCCCGTTGGGATGTGCCCAGCGGTCAGCGCCGCCGCAGTCGCGTCGGTCTGGCCGCTGCGCGCGTGCGCATGCGCGGGCTAGCGCGGCCGCAGAGATGCACCATCCAACACCAAACACTCATCGCATCCGCTCGCGCATGGCTCTTTAAACCAAGTGCGTGTGGGTGGGTGTGATGATTGCGCGAGCGGTGGAGTTGTCAATTTCAAGTTTGGCAAGTGAATCTCCTTTTTGAAAAGAGAATAGAGTCTACCCCCCCCCCCCGGACTTATCGCTCCCCCTGGGATAGTCTAGTTTCATTTATATTCTACACACTCCCCCATCCTAAATATGAGATCGTATCATCCCAGCCAGGCCGGGTTCCCCCCCTGAGGTTCCTTTGTAAAAAAACACTATGCGGTGACATTTTTGTTCTAACATAGCATTGTTTCGCGATTCCCTTTCAAAAAATGGGATGAAGTGCACACGCGCGCGCCGTCGCGCGCGCATGCCGAAATCCTTCAAAAACCTTCGGTGCCGGAAGAATTTCGCAACCGAACTTCCAAAAAAACATACAAAAACACATGTTTTCGAAACACTGATTTGCTAAAAAAGCTTCCGCGCGAGCTCTTGCGGAATCTTCATAAAACCATGGGTTTTTCAAGATTTTCACAAAATGCTACCAAACGGGCTTCGCGCGCGCGCATGTCGAAATCTGTCGAACGCCCTTGCGCGTGTGCCGTCGCGAGACTCCTTTGCAAAAAATGGGACGAAGTGCAGGCGCGCGCGTCGTCGCGGGCGTATGCCGAAAACCTTCAAAACCCATCGGTTTCGGAAGGATTTCAAAATCGTGCGTCCAAAAAACCTACAAAACCCCTAGGTTTCGCAACACGGATTTTCAACAAAAGCGTGCGCGCGTGCGCTCTTGCGTCGTCGTCGTCGTCGTCGTCGCCGTCCTCCCTCCTCCCGCGTTGTCGTCGTCGTCGCCTACGTCGTCCTCTGTCATTTCTCGTGTTCGTCTTCGTCGTCCTCTTTGGCGTCGTGGTCGTTTCCGTCGTCGTTGTCGCCGTGGTCGTCCTTCCTCCTCCTCCCACGTCGTCGTCGTCGTCCGTCGTCGGCGTCTCGTCCTCGTCCCTCCTATTTCGTCGCCGTCATCATCGTCGTTGTCGTCGTCGTCTTCCCTCCTCCCTCGTCGTTGTCGTCGTCGGCGTCGCCGTCCTTCCTCCTTCGTCGTCGTTCGCGTCGTCGCCGTCCTCTCTCCTCCCTCGTCGTTGTCGTCGTTGTCACCGTTGTCGCCGTCGTCGTCCTTCCTCCTCCCTCGTCGTCGCCTTCGTTGGCGTCGTCGTCGTCTTCGTCGTCTTCGTCGGCGTCGGCGTCGTTGTCGTCGTCGAAGTCGTCGGAGACGTCGTCGGTGTCGTCCTAGTCGTTGTCGTCGGTGTCGTCGGTGTCGGTGGTAAGAGGTTTTGCAAACCAAGTTGCGGGTGGGTGGGTGGGATGTTTGCGCGAGCAGTGGAGATGACGACTTCAAGTTCAGCAGAGTGGATTGCACCACATAGGTTGCACCACATCGATTGTAATACAACTGTTGCCCACTATCTAGTTGCATAACACAGATATCACAAAATGTTGTGCGCCACGCAAATTCCACCACGTAGGTTGCACATTCCAGCATCTGCAGCACATCGTGGTTTGCACAATGCGGATTTATAGCACACAACATTTAACTGCACCGCATGTGTTGTACTTCTTGTGTTGCGCCCAATATAGTACACGAAATGGGTAGAGACATCGAAGCACATTGTTTCAGGTCCTTGCTGGCTAATATTGGCTGAGATCGAAACTTCAGGTCAATCATACGTAGCCGTTCTGATGTGGTAGTTATATAGTGGTCCGTGGCCCTCCCCGCCGCCGTGCCTGGCTCGTTGCCCAAAGACCTCTGAGAGGTCTCTTGGGTCACTTGGAAGGTCTGTTGGCGGTTTCTTTGGTGCATCTGGGGGGCCTCTAGGGGGCGTTTCGTTGGCCTCTTTGAGATCTCTTGGGGCTTCTTCGGGAACTGTTGGGGACCCCTGGGGCGCCTCTTGGGCCTCTTGGGGTCCTGGGTGGCGGTCTCGGGGTTCACCTTGGAGTGGAGGGCTCCAAAACTTGGTTCGTGTCCTTCAATCGAAGCCCTCGTGGGGCCGCCTTGGGGGCCTCTTTGGGCTATTGTCGGGCCGACCTGGGTTGATCTTGGGGGCCTTTCGGGCCGTCTTTGACGCTGTTAGAGCATAGCGGCCGAGAGTGATAAACCCACATTATACATGAACAGAAGTTTTTGACACATTTTTGCTACTTGGACCTGCCCCCAGGCCTCCAAGACGGCCACAGCGGCCACCAAGATCGGCCCAGGACAGTCCCCTGGGGATTTCCGAAAGCGCCCAAGAGCGGCCAGAGCACGGGGGTTAGGGCGCTGGAGCGAGAGGTGATCCCCGCATTTACGATACATTCCATGTATGCAAAGAAGTCGAAGTGACCTGAGGACATTCCACCCAGTGCCCACGGCACCGTGGCGGATATGCCAGCACACCCGGAAACGATACGTCAAACTCAGCGCCAAGCTTGAGCTTGCACGGAAGCAGTGCTCAAGTTGATGCCCGTGGCCACCCACGGGCAGCACCCGTCGCTTGTCCTCCCGTCCTCGCGTGCAGGCAGCGCCCACAGGCACCGCCCATCAGGGTCCTTCCCCGCGCATCGCGGGGGGAGGGCCCGCCCAGCTGACCAGTCGGGTGCTGTTCTGGCAGCCGGTTCTGGCCCGACGTCCGCAGTCACACGGAATGGGAACTTAGCCAGGCACGAGCTTGCCGGGCAGAGCTTAGTCTGGCGGAGCTGCTGCCCGCACCCGCACGCCTCCTCTCTATGTCCCCTGCCCCCTCGGCCACGCGCTGAGGGGGGTTGGAGGGAGGGAGGGGGGGAGGCTACTTAGAAGAACCCCTGGCTTTTCAGAAGGCGCGGGCCTTGTCTGGTGATGCAGGGCCGGCGCCTTCTAAGGAGCAGCCTGCTACAAAGCCTCCCCCCCTCCCCCTATCCCTTTGTGCGCGTCCCCTACCCTTCCATCATCTGAGGCGTGAGTGCCTGGCGGTCCTTCACGAGGGGAGCAGGAGCGAGGGGGGGCAATCGGCGCCGCTTCCGCGGGCCCGCCTCCTGCACCCGCGGAAAGGTCCACTTCCGGAAGGTCAACGGCATGATGGGCCCAGGGCGATGGAACAGGCATATGATGAAGACCTGGTTGGACCAGGCGCGAAGCTTGCTCGAGACCCAGAGATCCGACGCTCCGTACAGAAATGGAGCGGCGGGTTTTTGTCTATTTTCGGCCTCCATGGGTCCTCGCCGGGCCTCGGGACCGTCAAAAAACGACTCGGGACCAAAAACCGTCCTTGGGGAAATGGTCCAGACCTCTGGGGCCCATGCATCGAAAAAGTTGGAGCAGCCGGATGTCTGGGAAGTTGGTTCTGGCGATGATTCGGAGACGTTCTGCCATTGTTCCTGACCATTCGGTGGCGTGTTTCGCTGAGCCCGTTGTTTGGATCGTCTTCGCACTCGTGCATCCCGTTGCGCGCGTGCTAGTGTAGTGGCTTCCCTTACCGATGCCTATACATGAGCGTGCGAGACCGTCGGCTGCTCAAGGACATGCGAGAGATATGGTACTTTGAAGGCACGGTTTACAGCGTGCGTGCGTGAATCAATGATTGACTGGGGTGTAATCCTAGACGGACACTCCGATGTGAACACGCTTCAGACGTCATCGTACACGGTATGATTCTGGAAGCTCGAAGAAAGCCGCAGTGATCGATAGAGGCTTGACCAGCTCCTGTTGGCGTGCATCCAGCTTGTGTTCTACACCAGCGTTTGTTAGCTCAGGCCGAGTGCCGTGTGCCCATTCACCAGCCACCAGCCAGTTGTAGGCGGCCTGTCGCCGGGCGAGTAAGAGACGAGCAGGCGACCAGTGCTCGGTGAGAGCTGGCTGGCCGTCGAGCAGAGTCGTTGGTCTGGCAGTTGCGCACGCAGGGGCGGGTTGCAAATGCGAGTTCTCATCTGCGTCATGGTAAGGCGGCTCTCTGGCATGCCCCCCCCGTTCACCTCCCCCCAGCATCCCTGGTGCTCAATGCGTGGATTCACACGCCGCAGAGCTAGGCCTGGGGGAACAAAAAGTTACATAAACATACAAACTCGGAGGTCCGCGCGGATTTCTCGGATCGGCGCTGGACCCCCCTCCCTGGCGCGCGGAGCGCGCCAGGGGCGGCGCCGGAGGCGCCGCCGGGGTGCCCCAGCGCCGATCCGAGAAATCCGCGCGGACCTCCGAGTTTGCATGTTTATGCCACTTTCTGTTCCCTTAAGGCCAGGGGGGGGGGGGAAGGTTTGTTTTAGCGCCTTCGATTGGCCTGTGACCGAGTGCGGCAGAGACCGATACCGACGTCCAGCGAGCGAGCGGTGGGGACGGGTGCAACGCAGCCCGAAGGAGACGGCGCCCAGTCAGAACCCTAGCAGGGACAGGGCCGCCGGAGCCAAAGTTTCCCCGGTGACGGTGGGGATGGTGTTCCTTGTCCAGATCCACGGGCTGCGAAACTGGACCCTCTTGAGGAGGAGGCGGCGGAGGAGGAGGCGGCGGAGGAGGAGGAGGAGGACGAGGAGGAGGCGGAGGCGGAGGAGGCGGAGGAGGAGAAGGAGGAGGAGGAGGAGGAAAAGGAGGAGGAGGAGCTGGAGGAGGAGGAGGAGGAGGAGCAGGAGGTCCCCACCAGTCTTCCGAGCCATCTGGAGGCTCGAAGACCTCAAAGAGCTAGTGGGCAATATCCAGAAGCTTGGATCGCCGATCCTCGAGGAGGTCGGGAGGAGGTTGGGAGGGTGTGCGGGAGGGGGGGTGGCCCCATCCGAGGCGCGGGGCTCGGGCCCGCCCAAGATCAGATCCCGGGGCGTGATGGGGCGTGTGGGGTGACAGGGAGGACGAGGTCAGAAGGAGGATGAGGATGCGGTCAGGCGCCAGGGAGTTAGTGAGGATGAGGAGGTCAGGAGGAGGCGGACAGTAGGAGGTTCAGACAGTTCTTGACGCTCCGCGTATCTTCACCAGTGCCCCATCTTCACTCTTGCGCTGACACGATGCAGTTGTGTCGCCTACGGCATGGACGTCGTCCAGGTGTGCCTGTCGGTCCTGCTCGTCTCTGACGGTGCCTTGTGCCGACTCACACCGAGTAATTGACCTCTGCGTGTTTATGGCCGCGCCGCCGCGCCATTTTGGCTGCGCTTACTTGCTGGTCGCCACCGGGATCTCCACGCCACTGGGTTGGGAGTTTCGTTTTTGGTTTTTCTTCTGAGTTCGCTTCGCTGTCTCTCTTTTCTTGCTGCCTAGTCGCGGCCCGACTAGTGTTCGGACGGCTTTCGACCTGCTTCGCGAGCCCGCAAACCAAAAAGTATCTTCACCTGTTCGCTTTGTCCCTCGCGCCTTTGGCAGTTATCCTGGTTACGTGGAGCCTGGTGAGGCACTCTGGCGGTCAGGTGGCGTGCGTTCTGACCAGTTCCGGCACGAGAGCTTGCACTTCCCTGGCTTCTGGCTCCTTGCCGGCTGGCCCTATGGGATTCTGGTCCGCTGGTTCATTCAGGAGTGGTTCAGCCTTCTTGAACGACCAGGCGTGTCACCTGTCGGTCCGCTGCCCAGACCTGTGGCGCCCTATGGCGATAAGGTCCAAGTCACGTACCTGGTGATTCAGCTCCCTTGGTACCCACACGTTTGCAGCCCCTGGCAGCCCTAGCAGTTTGCAGTCCCCACCCTCGGCGCTGTTTCTCAGCCTCGGCGGTTGCAGCACGCCCCGCAGCGCAGATGCAGCGCGGCCCCGCCGCAGCGGCTTCACCCGGCGGTAGCTCCTGCTTTCCTCTGCGCGCGCGCGCCGGCAATCAGGTTCGCTCGTAGCCCGAGCCAACTCGACCCGCTGCGGGCGCCTTGGCCTGTGGCCGCGACGGTGAAAAAGTATCCCCACCAGTCTGCGGCGCTTGGGCCTCCATCCTTCGTCTCCATCGGGTTCAGTTGCGTCGGCTTCCTGCTCGGCACCTACCTCGTGTTCCTGGTGGTGCTTGTCGTTGCCTTCGCGCCATTTTGGCCGCGAGTGTCCCGCCCCGCACCTTGCGTTGCCCGTTGCCCCGTTGTCCTTGGGCGGTGGCATAGCCTGCCGCGGCTCGCCCGGCGTTCGACCCGTTTCGCGCGCCCGCGTGCCAAACAAGTATCCCCACCAGTCCATCCAGGAGCAATGCCCAGGAGTTGCCTTGATCGAGTGTAAAAGCATGCAGCGGCACAAGTTCGAGAGACCCAGGACGAGAGACGAAAGACGAGGAGGAGGGGGAGGAGGAGGAGGAGGAGGAGGACGACGACGAAGACTCTGGCAGCCGTGGTGGAGGTTTTCGAGAGGCCCTGTTGGGGTCCATGGGGCTCTCTCGCGGCCCTCTTGGGGCAATCATCGGGTTTATTTTGGAGGGTCATAGAGTCCTCTTGAAGCCCTCTTTTGGGGGCGTGTCGGGAGCCTCGGAGGGTTTTTTGGGGCCATATTCGTGAGAGTCGAACAGAAGAGCTGGGGTCCCCGTATTGCCCCCCCCCCCCTCCCCCACGCACACCCTTTTGGGGCCATCAAAATGGCCTCTTGGGGCCCTCGTGGGCCGCCGCTGGAATACCGCGTGCGAGGCGCAGCTGCGGGAAAACACCCTGAGGCGAGACCCCCCCCCAAAACATCAAAACTTCCCCACAACTTCTGAACCTACGAGCCGCGATCTTCCCTGGACCCTGTGATCCGACGTCACGAATTATGCGAAACATCGCGGAAAATCACGGCTGGACCTTTTTCCCTTTTGCGGCATCTTTCGTACCGCGTCGTCCCGTGATGGCCCCATGGCCCGACACGGTGCAAAATCGCCCGCCATGAGAAGAACATTCGCTTGCCGAAGGACCCAAACGTATGCAGTTGTGGGTAAGTAGCGCAGTTGTGAGCATCGTCGGAGCTCCCCATGGTGCTGCGAAGCGTGTGGGGGGTGTAGAAAAGATGTCGGGGACGTATGCGAACGGTGCCATTGGGACCTTCGGTGGAGTTCCCTCTGGTGCCACGAAACGTGTGAGGGGTGTGCTGAAGAGGGTGGCGGGGACGGATGCGAACACCGCCACTGGGGCCTTCGGTGTAGCCCCCGATGGAGCCACGAAACGTGTGAGGGCTTTGCCGACATGACGGACGGGCGGGGACGCATGCGAACACCGCCACTGGGGCTCTCAGTGGAGCTCCTTATGGGGCCACGAAGCGTGTGAAGGGTGTACCAATATGGCTTGCGGGGACGCATGCAAACACGAAAGGTTTGTTTTCCGGGAAATGGTTGGTTCTCCAAGTGGATTTCTGGAGCCTGATGGGTTTTTGATTACGATGACTCTTGCAGAAGAGCCGATTTTCCGAATGAGACCCTATGAAGGATCGTCACCATTCGGTCGAACTTCCAATTGTCAAACCTAAATGCGATCCCTGAAAGGGACGCCCACGATTTCGCACCACTCTACCCTCGGTTTTCCGGAAAACCAACTCTTCGCGATGATTTTTTGTTGATGTGACGAGTCAATCGTCGTAGTAGTACCGGCAGCAGTAGCAGTAGTAGTAGTAGTAGTAGTAGTAGTAGTAGTAGTAGTAGTAGTAGTAGTAGTAGTAGGTACTAGTAGTAGTAGGTACTAGTAGTAGTAGGTACTAGTAGTAGTAGGTACTAGTAGTAGTAGGTACTAGTAGTAGTAGGTACTAGTAGTAGTAGTAGTAGTAGTAGTAGTAGTAGTAGTCGTAGTCGTAGTCGTAGTCGTAGTCGTAGTCGTAGTCGTAGTCGTAGTCGTAGTCGTAGTAGTAGTAGTAGTAGTAGTAGTAGTAGTAGTAGTAGTAGTAGTAGTAGTAGTAGTAGTAGTAGTAGTAGTCGTAGTAGTAGTAGTAGTAGTAGTAGTAGTAGTAGTAGTAGTAAGTAGTAGTAGTAGTAGTAGTAGTAGTAGTAGTAGTCGTAGTAGTAGTAGTAGTAGTAGTCGTAGTTGTAGTAGTAGTAGTAGTAGTAGTAGTAGTAGTAGTAGTAGTAGTAGTAGTAGTAGTAGTAGTAGTAGTAGTAGTAGTAGTAGTAGTAGTAGTAGTAGTAGTAGTAGTAGTAGTAGTAGTAGTAGTAGTAGTAGTAGTCGTAGTTGTAGTCGTAGTCGTAGTCGTAGTCGTAGTAGTAGTAGTAGTAGTAGTAGTAGTAGTAGTGTTTAGTAGT